GACCTCAGACAACAATATAATAAAATTTAAAAAGCCAGTTCATGACCCGTTTAAACGTTTTTCAAGGCGACCGTTATTGATCGTATCACTTTATGATGGAGACGCGTCATTTCATTGCTTAATCAATAGCTGAATGACGATCTGCTTTTTTCCCTTTTTTATAAAAAATTTCACAGATTTGTTGGCTATAGCAGGATATCAGATATTCCGTTTGTCAAATATGTGCAATTGGATGTGTTTTGTTGTTCAAACGCCTTTATAACGATCGCGTTAGTTGAGCTGTATGCGCTACGTATTTTAGGTATCTTATTAAAATAGCCTACCTATGAACTACATAACTTTACATTATTAGGAATTTACAACCTCCGGCTCAATTTGAGATTATTATTATTATTATTATTATTATGGAGTTTGCAAAGTGGCATAATGAATCAAAGCACAACACGTCCACACTTGTATTTTCTCATATCTTATTTGTTGCAAACTTTTTAAAATGTGATAGTAATAAAATCAATTTTAACAGTTAAACTTCAAGCCTATTATTAACATTTTGTTGGGGTGAATCCGAAGTGGGGAATGGCAGAAAATTTTTGAAAGTGCTGACTTGTTCACTTGTTGGGGAAGTCCCAGAGAGTCTGTGTATGTAGGTGTGGGTGTGCTCAACTTTTTGGTTCTTGCCAGGGGGAGGCTTTGTGTTAACTAAGTTCGCTATAAAACTGTCAACTGAGTCCTGATACTCTACAATACTGAATCATTTATTTATTTATTTTTTCAAGCACAACTCAAAAGGTCACAAACTTGACTTGGTTTGTACTGCTGGTTAATGTTTCTGCGCTTGGTTCTCAGACTGGTCTCTTGATCACCACATTGAAACTTTTGCTTGGCTGTTCCTCGCCCTAGGCTATAAAATTCATCATAATTTATCATAACCTCAACTGTTCTTCACATCTTTACAAACTCTGAGTTGTGTAAACAACATTGTAGACAGTAGATACCCTCTTAACACAAGTATCTGTGCATGGATCTCTAAAATCTATGTAAATGGTTTCAACTTTGAGTAAATGGGTTTGTTATTTTGTTATTGTTTTATACCAGAACAGCATCTGTTCTGTACAGTAGTGTCTCCCTCAGTGTCAAACAGTTTCTAATGTTTTTTTCCCCTAGTAGATTAAAGTGCTTAAAAACGGTTTATAGTAGAAGTACAGGAAGATAGTCTGGTAACACTGATGGTCCCTTTTGAACATCCTGTTGACTAGAAGTAACTTTGCAACCACATGACAAATAACTCTCATTATTAGACTGTCTGCTTAAAGAGCCCCTATCATAGCATTTGAAATGTTCCTATTTTTGTTTTAGGAGCTCCCAAAAACAGTTTAACATGCATGCAATGATAAAAAAAACACTTTATTTGTCTTATAATATTATTATTATTATAGAGTCTTTATTGTCCTATAAGGATATTCTTATTCACACATATCATTGTTACATTTCATGAAGGGTGTGCACAGCCTCATACATATAACATTTAACAAAAACAAAACCAAAAATTTGTTTTTATAATATGCAAAAATATTATAAATTTTATAATATGTGGTATCGTTGCAAATATGACCTCAAACTACCGATTCTTCACATGCGTAAATGAAAACAAAGTGGCTGAACTATCTTTGCATTGTAGAACACAGCGTCTTCTCGACATGATGCTATGATGAAGTATTTGAATGTGTAGACTTCAAGTTTACACTTCCGTCTGCGCGCGCAGTAACTGGGCGCGGCCAATGTGTATTTACGTCACGACAGCCAGCCAGACTCGTTTCAAGAATTGCATAGACTCAGAGTCGACTCTCACTTTTGAAAGACAATAACTTTATATACGATGCACTTTCAGATATAAATCTTTGCAGGATGTTTTCATTCCCTTAGAGCTATATTCCACACCATATGAACAGTCATTTTCAAAAATCCATGATAGGGGCTCTTTAATATCTGCCAACTCTTTATTGTGATGCTCCTCTCCATAAGACAATCTACTGACTATAAGTAACTTTGCACCTACATTTAAACTTATTCTATTCCTAACCCTACCAGTCTACTAATACTCTACTAATACTCTAGTGAGAGTTAGTAGATGTAGGTGCAACATATAGTCAACTGAATGTGTTAAAGGGACCATCCAAATGAAGTGAAACCCAAACTCTTCACCAAACTAAACACTGAATGCCTACACAGCAAAATCCACATGTACACTTGCTTCAGTGTTCATTTTTTTAACACCCTGGAGTTGGACCTATATGTACACCGAGAGTGTACATATGTACACTGGGGATTTTGACATGACGTGTGTGTGTCCACCCAACGGATCAAAACCCCATTAGGTTTCAGTTTGAATCGAGATAAAGCCAGTGCAGTGAGATCATACAAGGTTTTAACTTGGTTTTTCCATTTACTACAAATTTGAATAAACACACATAATTTTAAAATCACTACAGTGTTTAATTTTTGAATGTAGGTCATCAACAATTCACACAATACATGTATCCATCTGAAACAGTCCGGTCGCTGTACAGCCTGAGAAGAAAAGCTGTCATTGAGGCGTTACTAATATGAACTTTTTGATAAAAATAAAGAATATTTTTTATCCATCAAGAACACTCCACTGGGGATACTCCATTTTTTTTTTTCGCTCAGAGTAAAATAGTTGAGTTGTCATAACACAATGACGACAGAGTTGCGACGGTCAGAGCAAGCTCGGATATATTCTGTATTCTGTTTGTAATCGTTCATTCTCGGATGTGGCGCCGCGCGCGCTGTTACAAAAAAAGCTGTGGTGAAACAATCAACTTGTCATTTTTGCCGTGCTCAGGCGGACGCGTCGAGTATAAAGGCTTTACTCCGTGTCAGCCCCAAGGTTATTATAGTTTTGCATTTTTCATTAGTTTTTATTTTTATTTCGTTTTGAATTTTTGTTTTCAAATTCAGTTTAGTTAATTAGTTTTAAAAGTGGGATTACTAGTTTAGTTTAGTTTCTATTTTTTTTAAATTGCCTAGTTTTAGTTTAGTTTTTTATTAGTTTTAGTGTTGGTTTTAGTCTTTTTTTGTAGTTTGGGTTATTTGTCAGGGGCAAGGTTGAAAAAGGTCAGAAAAAGAATTGTGTAATAAGATTCAGATTCAATACTTTATTGCCATACAACTCGTTACAAGTTGTTAGGGATTTGCTTCAGTGTGCTCATACAAACAAAATACAATCAAGGACGTAAATAGAACAACAATATACACCACAATATCCAAAGAACAAGCCTATGGACTGTATGCAGGAGCGATCTTAATATCTTAAATATCTTAATTTGTGTTCTGAAGATGAACAAAGGTCTTACGGGGTTGGAACAGCATGGGGTGAGTAAATACTGACAGAATTTCCATTTTTGGGTGAACTAAACCTTTAACTTGCCTAACTCCCTTAACCATAAATAAGGGGGAAAAAGATACAAATAAATTGGCGTCAAACATCCAACATCCCTTAGTCTGGTTAATTTTTTTTTTTTTTTAATTACTCGTTAAAAAAAAAAAGTATATTTAAACACTTAAAGCGTTAGTTCACCCAAAAATGAAAATGAAGTCATTAATTACTCACCCCATATTTTTTTATTTAATTTAAGGGCTGGATCACTGCTACATAGGCTCCTAAGGGATTGAAACTTGACGGCCCAGAAAGTCAATGAAGAAAATGTTTAAATATTCCATGTGACTACCGTGGCTCAACTATAAGTTTATCAAGCGACGAGAATACTTTTTGTGCTGAAAAAACAAACAAAAATAACGACTTTATTCGACTATTCCTTTTCTGCCTTGTGGGCAGAAAGTCGTTATTTTTGTTTGTTTTTTCGCACAAAAAGTATTCTCGTCGCTTGATAAACTTATAGTTGAGCCACTGTAGTCAGTGTTGTAGTCGAGACCACCTCACTCGAGTCCGAGTCGACACCGAGACCAGAGAGAGTCGAGTCCGAGTCAAGACCGAGTCCATAGAGAGTCGAGTCCGAGTCGAGTCCGAGACCAGAGACGGTCGAGTCCGAGTCGAGACCGAGACCAGTGAGGGTTGATTACCTAATTTACTTTTATTTACTTAGAGAACTTACTTTTTTTTACTGAATTTACTTAGAGTTTAAGAAATATGATCAGTTTAGGGTAAAAAGGCCACATAGTAGGTGGTGTTAAAAGTAATTTTATTACAATTTGTCATGCGCAGTTGCGCACTAGAAAATCACCAATCACTGGGCGTGTCAATCAATTTAAAGAAATATTTTATTAACATACATTAATAATCATGAAAAATATTTTGAATTGAACTCGAGTGGACTTGGGAATAAGTCCGAGTCCTAAAAAAAAAAATGTTCAAGTACGAGTCAATTCCGAGTCCAACTGGACACGAGTCCATGACAAGACCAAGACCATTAAAATATGGTCTCGAGACCGAGTCCGAGTCTCGAGTACTACAACACTGACTGTAGTCACATGGAATATTTAAACATTTTCTTCAATGACTTTCTGGGCCAAGTTTGATCCCTAAGGAGCCTATGAAGCAGTGATCCACCTCTCAAATTAAATCATTTTTGGGTGAACTAACCCTTTCAATCTCAGGTCGACAAGTTAGAATCAGGCGTAGTCAATCGGGCAATAGTCAGATAAAGGAGAATATCAGAAGTAGGATTCACAACAAACACTCTTAATTGAACAATGAGGAAACGAACAAAGGTAAAGAGAAGCACAATCAGATTTTAAACTAGACACAAAGTACAATAGCATAAAGCACTAAACCAACAAGGCTCAAGGGCCTCCATTGAGTGTTTAGGCGGTCCTTACTGCACTGTATATAATTATCCTGGTCAGGTGTATAGCAGGACCAATCACTGCTCAGTTTAACAGGGTTAACGCCCATCTGAAACACAACCATGTCTACAAAGAGAGAGAGAGAGAGAGAGAGAGAGAGAGAGATAGAGAATATACTCAAGGACAGTTATGAACACTAAATATCTCAGGGTCCTAACATTAGTTATATTCTTTATTTGCTGTTGGAGTCTGACTGGTAAGTTATAAAAGCATTTATGGCTTGATCTTTTCCCGTTTCAGTGTAAATTAGAATTTGATTATTTCCATCTGCTTTTATGTAACAAAAGAATTATGAATATTTTATTAACATAATACAAGATCTTCTAACTTTGAATACGGTCTATTTTATGATTAGGAAGTTTACAGTGACATTTTCAGGTCTGGAAATCTCCACAGTGAATGTAAATGTTCAGAAAGTGTGACCTTTCCATTGAGCTCTCAAATATCAGGCCATTTTTTGTCTTTTTAAAAATATTTCTGTGGCTATTACTCTAGAAATGTCATGGAAATTCACTAGTGAAAATAACACAAGTAAAACTGTACTTATTATCTACAATAGTTATCATGCATTTATTATCAATCAATTTTGAAACTTTAAACAGTGATTGTTCTCTCCACTTTAAAACAAATGAAACTGTAAGGATGCGCTGCACCAATAAGGTTGATATTTTATAGTTAATATTTTACATTTTGTTTTGTGTTTGTGCTTGTTTTGAATATTCTCAAGCTGATTTCAGGCTTTGTAAACCATCAGTGTCCGTAATCTGTGTAAATCTGTGTGTTCATCAGGTGTGTTTGGTGATTCGGTGTCAGTGACGGAGGGAGATTCTGTTACTCTAAACACCGATCTCGCTGAAATACATGAAGATGAAGATATACTGTGGAAATGTGGAGCTAAATATTTTACTATAGCTGAAATCAGCAGAGATTCTGGAATTTTCTTCACTCATGATGGTCCTGATGGGAGATTCAGACACAGACTGAAGCTGGATCATCAAACTGGATCTCTGACCATCATGAACACCACGACTGAACATGCTGGAGTTTATGAACTAGAGATAACTGGAGTGAAAGTGACTTCAAAAACATTCAATGTTTCTGTCTATGGTGAGTGGAGATCCTTTGTTAAAACTTTTACATTGTAACACTATCGCTCAAAATAATTAACAGGTTTGAGTAGGGCCAACTTAATATTCTGTCTAAATTAAAAGACACAAGTTCATAAAACAGGTTAAATTATTTCATTGTTATGAACACAACTGTTTAACTCTGGGGGAGTTGTAAAATGAGCATATTTCCACACAAAAAAGTGGAGTATCCCTTTAAATTAAATTGAAAATGGGTTGGGATTGCTATTTCCAAGCATGAATTGTCATGACACTTAAAGGGGGAGTAAATGCTAAAATTAAGTGTTATAAAATATTTTTTGTGTGTCGGATTCATGTTACGAGGGAGATTTAGTAGTGTTTATTGTGCTTTTTTATTGTTGCACTCTTGCATCAAATGCTATGAAAATGCTATCAAAGCGTTGTCAACAATTAGCAAGGTAGCATTTCTTTTAATTAGCTGGTTAAATCCAGCCAAATTTCCACTACTTAAAGTATACAAGTTGTGTGTACATTACCATTTTAAATGGATGAATGAGCTTACTCAAATATTTCAGGTTAAGAGCGATTAAAATGTATGATTACAAAATAAAACACAAATATAAATGTTAAAAAAATAACAAGTTCTGCTAACTCTTAACCCTTAAATTATTTTAGTTTTACCAACTTACATTATTTGGGTTTACAGTGCACATATACTGTAAAAAAATATATTGTTGGTTTAACTTAAACAATGAAGTAACCTGGTTGCCATAAATTGTTAAGTTCATTGAAATGGAAAAATTGAGATTGATTAAATCATCAGAAATCTGAAGCACATCAATTATTTAAATTGATTTGACAAAAGAAAATATATTGTGATTACAAATCATGAACATATTTTTTTTACAGTGTACTTTTGTTTTTTAAAGGGATATTTTGTGTTCAGTACAAGCTCAATCAACAGCATTTATAGTTTAAGGATAATTACCTCAAAAATATTTTTGAATTGTCAAGAAATGTTTAAAAATCGAGGTGGAAGTATTTGTATTTGAAAGCTGAAATATGAAGCTAATTTAATTATAAAAACATTAATTCCTATTTTAATATTATTTGAGCTGTTAAATAGTTTATAAAAAAATTTACGTTGTTGTGATGTCAAGTGAAAAAGTTCTCTCACAGATTGGCCCCATTGACTTCCATTTTAAGTCACTCACTGTTACCTCCATTTTGTATTGTTAGTAAAATCTATTTATTAAATTAATAAAGAAACGATAAAATTAAACGCTGTTCAATAACTATAGATGATGTTATAAAATTATATATTTTATAATAAAAATATTTATAAACGATTCTCATCATGATTCTGAAGATGGTATCACGTTTCATTCTCAAACGCAAAGTAAAGTGCATGAGTCAAACACACACCGCACTGAGAGAGAGAGAGAGAGAGAGAGAGAGAGAGAGAGAGAGAGAGAGAGAGAGAGAGCTGTTAGATGAGCGATGAGTAAGTAGGTCAAGTGTATTATGATAAACCATTGCAGTAATAGTGTGGAGAGATTGGTTAAGACCACTGAGGAAACGGTAGCTGAGTAGAGACACACGACTGAGGATTCGCGGGTGCAGTTCAGTTCGAAAAGATTTAGAATTTAAAGTGGAAAGAGTTTGTGTGAAGCCCAGTGTGAGGGTCAAGATCAATAATGCCGAGCCTGGTTTCTTCCTTTCTTCGTACGAACTTAATCACAAATTAATTTACTGACTGGTGACTTGGGTTATGTCAAAAACGTAAACCTGAGATCGCAATAGACGTGAAGGACTATAATGTGTTAAGAGCTTGCTCAAATACTGCAGAGCTAAATCATTTAGTGCTTTGTAAGTAATCAGCAATATTGTAAAATGTATACAATGTTTAATAGGCAGCCAATGAAGTGTTGACTGGGGGCTGATGTGGTCATACTTCCTGGTTCTGCTAAGAACTCGAGCGGCTGCGTTTTGAACCATCTGTAGTTTGTTTATTAAGCGTGCAGGGCAACCACCCGGTAGAGCATTATAATAATCTAGCCTTGAGGTCATGAACGCATGAACTAATTGTTCTGCATTTTTTATTGAGAGCATATGATGTAATTTAAATATATTTTTAACATGAAAAAATGTGGTTTTACAGATACTAGACATGTGTGAAATGAGCACCAATTCATGTTTGCGTAATGCACTCTTTAAAGAATGATAAATAAATAGAAAAATAAAATGTATATACACTCACCGGCCACTTTATTAGGTACCCCATGCTAGTAACGGGTTGGACCCCCTTTTGCCTTCAGAACTGCCTCGATTCTTCGTGGCATAGATTCAACAAGGTGCTGGAAGCATTCCTCAGGGAGTTTGGTCCATATTGACATGATGGCATCACACAGTTGCCGCAGATTTGTCGGCTGCACATCCATGATGCGAATCTCCCGTTCCACCACATCCCAAAGATGCTCTATTGGATTGAGATCTGGTGACTGTGGAGGCCATTTGAGTACAGCGAACTCATTGTCATGTTCAAGAAACCAGTCTGAGATGATTCCAGCTTTATGACATGGCGCATTATCCTGCTGAAAGTAGCCATCAGAAGTTGGGTACATTGTGGTCATAAAGGGATGGACATGGTCAGCAACAATACTCAGGTAGGCTGTGGCGTTGCAACGATGCTCAATTGGTACCAAGGGGCCCAAAGAGTGCCAAGAAAATATTCCCCACACCATGACACCACCACCACCAGCCTGAACCGTTGATACAAGGCAGGATGGATCCATGCTTTCATGTTGTAGACGCCAAATTCTGACCCTACCATCCGAATGTCGCAGCAGAAATCGAGACTCATCAGACCAGGCAACGTTTTTCCAATCTTCTATTGTCCAATTTCGATGAGCTTGTGCAAATTGTAGCCTCAGTTTCCTGTTCTTAGCTGAAAGGAGTGGCACCCGGTGTGGTCTTCTGCTGCTGTAGCCCATCTGCCTCAAAGTTCGACGTACTGTGCGTTCAGAGATGCTCTTCTGCCCACCTTGGTTGTAACGGGTGGTTATTTGAGGCACTGTTGCCCTTCTATCAGCTCAAACCAGTCTGGCCATTCTCCTCTGACCTCTGGCATCAACAAGGCATTTCCGCCCACAGAACTGCCGCTCACTGGATGTTTTTTCTTTTTCGGACCATTCTCTGTAAACCCTAGAGATGGTTGTGCGTGAAAATCCCAGTAGATTAGCAGTTTCTGAAATACTCAGACCAGCCCTTCTGGCACCAACAATCATGCCACGTTCAAAGTCACTCAAATCACCTTTCTTCCCCATACTGATGCTCGGTTTGAACTGCAGGAGATTGTCTTGACCATGTCTACATGCCTAAATGCACTGAGTTGCCGCCATGTGATTGGCTGCTTAGAAATAAAGTGTTAACGAGCAGTTGGACAGGTGTACCTAATAAAGTGGCCGGTGAGTGTATATATATATATATATATTTATTTTTATTTTTTTTAAGAGCGCATTAAGCAAGCATGAATTGGGGCTCAGGTCAGGAAACAAGACAGACTGGCTAAACCGACCGTCTGCTAGCTGTTTCACTTCACTGAGGTCAGATAAATCACACACACACACACACTTCTCTTTTTTTTTCTTCTTCTGTTGTCCATCGAGATCCGATGATGACGTCCACGCCTTTTAACGGTGAGATCTTTGATGGCTAAACAGTCCTATCCTGGACCCACAAGCTCTATTGCAGGTGGGGCATATGCATGTGGTTGTCACATTGGCAGCTCTGGCTGCATTTCTCCTGGCTCGCTTCTGCTGTTTTCTGGTTGTCCTCTCCATCTCTAGTGTACAAAACCCCTCTCCACATAGCCGTCGCCAGATGGTGCGGTCAGCAACAACATCCTCCAGATCCTCAGGTCTGATCTTACACTTTGTCAAGGCGTTCTTCATCTGATCTTTATAGCGCTTCTTCGGACCCCCAGCTGAGCGTTGACCATGATGTAATTGGCCATATAGTACTCTGTGGGGCAGACGACATGGTGGCATCCTTATCACATGCCCCAACCACTGCAGTTGGCGCTGGTGTGGCACACACACACACACACACACACACATATATATATATATATATATATATATATATATATATATATAGCACCATTGACTTTAGACCAGGTTTCAGTTGGTCAATGGCGCAGTCATCAGTTTCCTCAGAATAGCAATTCGCCAACAATGCCCCTGAACACACCTCGTTTTCAGACCAGCAGCCCATGGGCTCACAAATGGGTGCAAATGCATTTGCTATTTAAACAATGTGACTCAGGATGTGAAAATAATAACCGTAAAATGATAACGGGCCGCACCTGGAGCCGTATTGTGCCAGGTGTATGATACGTGTTCTTGCGGTGTTTTTTGACAAAGTGACATCCTGGCATAATAATACAGCCTTTTTAGGCGTTTTCACAGGTTTGTGTGAACAGGGATCGTTTAGACAAAGTTTTTTTTTTTTTTGTACATCGATGTCATGTAAACATACCATGTCACATTCCAGTGTTTCCCCTACCATTGTTTTAGGGGGGCGGCCTGAATAAAAGTCAAAATAAAAGTTCGGTTTAACTTGACATAAATATATTATTGTTGTACAGTAGAAATAGGAAATGTCCAGATGTAACAATACATTAACACTAATACGAATAAATTATGTTTTTTTTTAAACAAAACTGAATTTAAGGAATAATCCATGTTTTAATTTTAACAGTAAAGCTCATTGTGTTGTACAGCACATTAGTTGACAAAAAGTTTATGATAAAATTAGTTTTATTACCAGCAAAAACACAGAATTAGTGTAATGTTTTTCATATATCTATATATTTAAAAAAGAAAAAAGAAAAATACATGATTTGAATTATTATAAATTCTTTTTCATGTCTAATAATGTAGTGTACTTTTTTTAGTGTAGCTACAAAAATCAGACCATCAACACACTGCAGGGAAAATAATTGTGTAGATTCATCCTTATTTCTCCTTTTTCTCTCATGTTTCTCAGCTCGTCTGCCGGTTCCTGTCATCATCAGTAACTCTTCACACTGTTCTTCATCATCATGTTCAGTGGTGTGTTCAGTGTTGAATGTGAGTGATGTGACTCTCTCCTGGTACGCAGGAATGAGTGTATTGTCCAGAATCAATGCATCTGATCTCAGCATCAGTCTCTCTCTACCTCTGGAGGTGGAATATCAGGATAAAAACACCTACAGCTGTGTGCTGAACAATCCAATCAGCAACCAGACCACACATCTGGACATCAACACACTCTGCAGACACACATGTGCAGGTACAGCAGCCCTCATCACATATGTGTGTGTGTACTGACCTGATCTCAGATTTACTTACATTAATGTCTCTCCTTTCTTCTCCTTCAGGTGCTCCAGTGTCTCTGATAGTGTTGATCTCGGCTGGATCTCTGATGATTGTTGCTGTAGTCGTGATCTTCTGCATCTGCAGGAAATGAGTAGACAAACAGGAAGATGAGTCCAATTACAAATATTAATAAGACACAAATATTAAAAACTTTGTCTTTTTAACATCTGTGTTTGTTGTTAATGCAATCCAGACCCAGGAGGAAGACAGAACTGATCCAGCATTGTGTAAACCAACAACACAGAAGGTAACACATTGCAATGTGGTTGCTGTCAGTTAGCGTGATTCAGAGACATGAGTAACGACTCAACGGTCATTATTATTACCTTCAGTACAAACAAAGGATAGTTTAAAGAGGTGGTTCATTATGGTTTCCCTTTATTTGCAGTGTGAAATGTTGCTGTTTGAGCATAAACAACATCTGCAAAGTTACAACGCCCAAAGTTCAAAGCAAAGGGAGATTTTAAGAACTACAACAAAACACCCCTGTGAACACAGTCCATGGTGAGGAGAAGAAATAAAAGAGTACATTTATGAATCAGCTCAAACTTTAGCATCCATCTTTTTGCATGCAATAGAAAGCATCACCACATTGAAACATCACACACAAACTCTTGTTTGCCTTTTCCTCACCCTTGGCTGAAATTCATCACAACCTCAACTAGAGCCAGACCGATATATCGGCCGATATTAGGCATTTTCCAAAATATCGGTATCGGCAGTTATAAATGGCCGATAAATGAATATTTTAAAATAAAAACGGACGAAACACGCTTCAATCATCTCTCCTTGGCCTGTTATATTGAAAATGTATGTTTTACAATTTGCAGTATGATGTTATCTACTGCTAAATTATGGCTCATCATAGACTAGCTAACCACAAAGCTAGCTAATGCCACTATTATCAGTTGAAGACCGCTAACGTTAACATTAATGAGCTTGGAAACAACAATGAACTTTTTCTGCCTAAATAAAGTAATGATTACTGTATTTATAACTAGCATATCTCTAGTCACAGTCCCTGCATTGTAAAATGTAAGTTATACTTGCGAGGAGTGAACATTTAGACATAGAGAAAAAGTATCAAACGTATCTTGTGCAGAAAAGTTAGCTTTTCTTTTACACGTGTGTGAAATCCAACAATATTTAATAAAAAAAAAAAATATCGGCCGATATATCGGATTTTAAAACCCAAAAATATTTGTATCGGTATCGGCCTTCAAAATCCTTTATCGGTCGGGCTCTAACCTCAACTCTGCTGTTCTCCACATCTGTAAAAACTCTGATTTGTGTAAACAACATTGTAGACACCCTTTTTACACAAGGATCTGTGCATGGATCTCTACATATCCTATACATATACAAATTTGACTGTTACCCATAGTCTAATAATAAAATGTAAATCTATATAAATGGTTTTAACTTTGAGTAAATTTGGTTTATTATTGTAATTCCACCAACACAACGTCCGTTTTTATACCAGAACAGCATCTTTTCTGTACGGTAGCTTTTCACGACAAAACAATTTTGTCAGTGTTTATAGATTATGATTTGCTAATATCCCAGCAAGCAATTTTGTGTTTAAAAGATATACAATAGCTGACCAAACACTGCCTGGACGTCTAAAACGAGGTGAAATTTGGACCGTCAGTGAAAATGTACTAAACATAGCCCGACAACAGATTTGTCATCATTTAGATAAATAAATAGCCCCTCCAGGATTTCACGATTTTTTTGTGTGATTTTTGCGATCAAAATGACTGATTTTGTGGTGGTAATTTCCAAAAATTTGTGAAAAAATGTGCGATTTATATATAACATTTACCATTATAGTATTCAGTCCTTCCAGAAAAACACGGAGTTTTTTTGTGATTGTTGCGGGCAAAAATTGATTGATTACGCGGCCCGTTTTCTTTAAAAATGCGGTGGAATATGTGGGATATTTATGCAATGAAATTGCAGGAATTTGCAAAACTTGAGGGAACTTGCAAAAATTGCAGTTTGATGAAAAGAGAAAAAAAGGTGATTCCCCCAACATCCTGTTCTCACTAGGCTGATGTAAGAGTCATTTCTTATTACTTCCTTTGATAAGCAAGCATACTACATCATACAAAGTGCTGGGAATATTTAATTTCTCATCTTGTTTTATTTCAGACTGTAACGAGTGTAAATAAGGTGTGGCCCCTTTAAGAGCTGCGCGCTCCCTGTTGAACTCTCTGCAGTGTTATATGTGCGCCTCGAACACCCCATGTGTGCGGGTAATTTCTGTTTGATGCTACTTCTTTTATCTTATGTTGTTTATTAAGTAACGATGTGACGGTAGAACGTGTGACAGACAGTTATATGAGTTCGATTTGTGAGATGTCAACCGCCTCCGTGAGTCTGTCTGGCGTCGCGTAATTGCGTCACTTCATAACGTTCCCATGGAAACAGGGGGAAATGGCTGCTCTTGTGTGAAGCAAACGCAACATTTTTCAACTTTTTGCTAAGATACATGTGACTTTTTTTTGCAACGAAAATGCGAGGATTATGAAATTATGCAAACCCCGCATATTTTGCACGGAAATCGGCAATTTATGCGGCGAAAGTGCGGCGTATTTTGAAAAAATTCGGCCCCCGCATAAATATGCGGACTTTGGCTGATTTTGCATGGAATTCAGCGATCGCATAATTGCGTTTTTCTGGAGGGACTGAATAAATTAAATTAGTGAAACCAAACACCTTGTGATCACTGTTTACTTTGCTTACATGATGGAATATCATACAACTTGCAAGTTATTTTGGGGAAAAACACCAAATTCAAGGTTATTTTTGCCAGAAGTGGGTTACTCATAGCAGTACTACTATAGGTCTATAGTTAAACGGTGAAAAGACTTATATTGCTTGCTGGGTGTGGTCTTGTGAAGAGAATAGCAAGGTTATTCAGAGAGAAACCTATCCTAGTTCTGTCACATCTGCAGATTCATGACTACGTTTTTTTGTTTTTGTTTTTTTATAATCAGAGATGTAGTCTGTTTATGAAAAAGTACCCAAAAAAACAATGATCAAATACCACATGTATGATAACTTTTGTTGGAGCTCAAAGGAAATTAGCTCTCACTTTTGGTTTTATTCACATTTTTTCTCTGCCAGGAGGTTTTTCTTCTGTTTTTTTTTTTATGTCTGTATATATCTTTTGGTGCTATTGTGATGTCAACCTCTAGAAATGTCTTTAGTCAGATCATAAACAACAGAAAAAGAAAACTGTAAAATTACTGCATGCATAAGTGACATATTTTCACCTGTAACAATAAAGCACCTCACTGGAAACTGAGTACAAGAATGTATAAAATGTGTGTTTTTTTTTCTAACATAATATAAAAGTATATATTTCTAAAATTAAGGATAATAACTTTAACAAGCTAAACTATTGTATGGCAGCGTTATATGATCATTGTGTGTGTGTGTGTATTGCTTTTCTCCCTCAGTTTCTCAGCATGTTTGTGTAGATTAAAAATCAGGACAGGAAGACGCTCTTCACCTACAAACTAAACACACACACACCAGCTCTGATGCCCATTTTCTCACCTAAGATGTGTGTCCACCAACAGATCAAACACATTTCTGAAGAACACCCACCGACTTCAGTTTCAGTCTGACTCGAACATCAATAAAACTGCAGATCACACACTTTTAACTCTCTACATTTTCCCTTTATGTATATATGATTAAAATTGAGAACTGAATAAATAAACAACAATTTTAAAATCACTAGAGTTTTTATTTTACCATGAATAGTAATTAATCCAATATTCAGACAATATTCTTCTATTTTTAAATATTTTACACAGTCAGGAAAGTGGAGTTTGAATGCATCATTTTAAATCTATTAAACCAATTATAAAACTAAAGTTGGAATAATTCAGTTTCAATCAGCTTTGGAAAGACGAGGATCTGCTCATAATGAGGAACAGTAAATAACAACGAGATTCACTCACAGTATCTACATCATTCATTCCTGCCGCAGTGCATGCTGGGAAATTAAAAAAAATATATATAATTTGTGTGTGTGCATGTGTGTGTGTGTGTGTGTGTGTGTGGTGTTATCATAAACAGAAAAAGAAAACTGTGTGTGTGTGTAATAGGAGGGTCACACTCTGGTGAGTGAGGACTTGCTCAGACGACACATTACATCTGTTGTGTTTGTAGGTGTAGGTGTGTGTGTGTGTGTGTGTGTGTGTGTGTGTGTGTGTTAATTAGGTCAGACTCTGTCGAGTGAGGACTTGCTCAGACGCCACATTACATCTGTTGTGTTTGTTTAGATCAGTTTTGCTCGTGTTTTTACATCAGGAAATGTTTAACGTGTTTGTTTTGTTCAGTTTGTGCTTCTGCCGTCTGATCGGTAAGTTATAAATATTCATATCTCAGAGTAATAAACTCCTGCTGCAGTTCACATTAGATTATTTTCATCTGCCATGATCAAATCTCTCTTATTGTTTCTGGTATTTTAATTTTAAACGATTACAGATGCAAATCCGAAATAAAAAAAATTATAATAATAATTTCAATAATTTTACATTCTTCTGCAGAAAATCATAAACAACTACAATAGTCAAATTTAGTAATAAAAATGTGTTAAATATATTCAGCATATTTAAACTTGTTATTTCAAGCTATATTTGATGCGTCACATTTTTTAATTTCACTCTACAGTAGATCATAAACACATTAAAGATCAAATTATTGATTATATATATGTTGGTAACACTTTATTTGAAGGGGTGTGCATAAGACTGACATGACACTGTCATAAACATGACATAACACCTGTCATGAACATTGAGTCTTTATGAATGTTTATGACTGTTGTCATTAAGTGTCATTCGGTAAATTATGACACTTTTAATGCAAAGTTGACATTGTTTAAATTGTCTTTGTTATGACAACTTGACATTAACAAAGACGAAAAATTTCTTGATTGACAACTTGACATTAACCAAGAAATCATAACCTGTCAACCTGACATCTTTACAACTAGTCCAAAGTGTTTCACTTTACTTGAGGTAAGGGGAAATATTAATGACCCTGTTGTTTGACAGCATTTGACAGTGTAATGACATCTTTATAACTAGTACAATGTGTTCCACTTTACTTGAGGACAAGTAACATATTCATGTCACAGTTATAATGGTGTCATGACATCCAAAGTCAAAACCAACCACACATGACAGAGTGATGTAATGTCAACGCAAAGCTAAATAACTTCTTTAAGTTTGATAATTAGACCTGTTATGACATATTTGTGACAGGTTATGATTCCTTGGTTAATGTCAAGTTGTCATAACAAAGACATTTTAAACAATGTCAACTTTGCATTTAAAAGTGTCATAATTTACCGAATGACACTTAATGACAACAGTCATAAACATTCATAAAGACTCCATGTTCATGACAGGTGTTATGTCATGTTTATGACAGTGTCATGTCAGTCTTATGCACACCCCTTCAAATAAAGTGTTCCCTATATTTTCATTTTTGTGTGTTGTCACTCACTGCTGCTGTTAAAAGTTACAAACTGATCTCAGGCTTTCTAAACCAACATGAGCATTAATCTGAAACCTGTTCATGTTTTTCTCCAGGTGTGTGTGCTGCCGAAACAAATGAAATACAGTCAGTGTCAGTGATGGAGGGAGATTCTGTTACTCTACACACTGATCTCACTGAAATACATGAAGACGACTACATACTGTGGAAATATGGAGCTGAAAAGTACATTATAGCTGAAATCCTTAAAATATATGGATTCTTCTCCACATCTGATGATGTTCCTGATGGGAGATTCAGAGACAGACTGAAGCTGGACAATCAAACTGGATCTCTGACCATCACACACACCACAACTGAACACACTGGAGTTTATAGACTAGAGATAACTGGAGCAAAACCGACATCAAAAACATTCAGTGTTTCAGTCGATGAAATGAGTAGAGACATAATTTATCTAAACTTGTACATAATCTGTTTACATACATTTATACATTAAATACTGTAATTGTATAGTTTGAGCTGACAGACACATTCAGTGACAGTTAAACACTAAACACTCACTCAACACAAACTACAATTCACAACACCTAAAATATACTGATTGTTGTGTTCATATTTCTCTTTATTCTCTCATGTTTCTCAGCTCGTCTGCCTGTTCCTGTCATCAGTAGAAACTGTTCATCATCATCATCATCAAATTGTTCATTGGTGTGTTCATCATCAGTGTTGAGTGTGTGTGATGCGACTCTGTCCTGGTACGCAGGAATGAGTGTATTGTCCAGCATCAGTGTGTGTGATCTCAGCATCAGTCTCTCTCTACCTCTGGAGGTGGAATATCAGGATAAAAACACCTACAGCTGTGTGCTGAACAATCCCATCAGCAACCAGACCACACATCTGGACATCAACACACTCTGCAGACACACATGTGCAGGTACAGCACCACTCATCATATTAGTTGATATTAACGTTTATTGACTGACCTGATCTCAGTTTGATGTTTTTATTCCTCAGACTCTGTCCACTGTTGTGGTTCTACTGAAGCTCTGATCCGATTGGCCCTCTCTGCTCTAGTGGGCGTGGCTACCGTCATTCTTCTGGTTTATGACATCAGATCCAGAAGAGCTGAACAAGATCAAGCACATATTCACACATTGGGACAGTAAATGATGATTTCATTTATCATTCTCAAACAATTCAATCATCTATTAATTTTCATTTATTTTTAATGGCTTTATATATTAATATGTTGTCAATATTTTTATTGACATCTTTTTTTTCCACTTTGAAGTTAAAGGGTCTCACCACCTTATATTTCACGAGTCCACCTGCCCAGTCTTGATTAATAACTTGGTCCCTCATAATCAGGCTTGGGAGGGTTATTTTAATAATGTATTCTGATACAGTTACAAATTACTTCATAAAAAAGTATTCAGTAACCTAATCCAAGTACCAGATTACTTTAGGATTACTTCAAGGACAGATATATTTCCCATTCATTTTCCATGCAACAACCCAACTGTGGCTATTTTTTTTTTTTACAACCACTTAGACTATTCACATCCTGTCCCCAATTTTTTTGGGTGTTCAAATACCAAATACCAACAAAGTCACCAAATTTCGGACCGTTCCGAGGAAGCTGTGATTTAAATATATATATATATATTTAAATTCTTGGAAGTGGGCCGAACAACCCCAGAGGGTTAAATAAAGCAACACACAGCATAACATCAATGTTTTTTGGCTCATCCTGAACTGAAGCACTCTTCAGCACAACGGTAACCTCACAAAACTCAGACAACAGAAACCTTGTAAACCCCAACAGAACATTAAACACACTAACAGATCTCTCAAGATCTCTTCGGAGGAGGATTAACTCCACAAACAGCATTACCAGCTTCACGTATTACTAAGCAGGTTGGCTTTATTTCTGTCAGACATCTACAGAAGGTCTTATTGAGAATGATCAGAGGTTTAGATGTTGGTGTTTTATTGAAATAACAGTTTGCTTTGCTTCACCATTATGATGATCAGTGTTACATATTCAAGTATCTCAGATAACACTCCCCTCAACCTGTAGTGATAAAGACAGACAGTACTTTGGTCATCACTTGTATGATATTGATTTGATTTTAAGTGACCAATGGCGCCATCTCTTGGGTTTTTTTAGAAACAGCAGCACTTGGAAACACTCAACAGGAAACATCTGTGTCTAATGGAGAACTGGCTTATACTTTATGCATATTTTTTTCTTTCTTGTTAATAAGAGGTCATATAGTTATAACAAATGACAGTAAAAATCAATGGATAAAAAACTGGAGAGATAGGAGTTCAGTATAGTCCAAGGACAACAAGATAGATGAGCTCACGGATGAACACCAGGGGACGTAGAGTGGCAATGGAGAGAGAGAGTGAGAGAGAGAGCGAGAGAGAGAGAGAGAGAGAGAGAGAGAGAGAGAGAGAGAGAGAGAGAGAGAGAGAGTTGTAATCTTGCAGGGCTGGAGATACAGTATTCAATTAGTTTAAATTAAAGTGAAATGAAAACTTTATGCATAAAAAGGATATGACAAGATTTCACAAAATTGTGAAAACCGTTGTTGTGAAAACCGTTGTTGTTTTTTGTTGCACTTTATTTAGTAAATTAATGAACTACATGTAACTACTATAGAGTCATAGTTAGGGTTTGGTTTAGCATCAATTACTTGTAATTATTCATCATTTACTGTTATTACTATAATAAGTATACATGTAGTCGCGTGTAAATATGTAAAAACTGCAAAACTTCAAAGTGTAAACTGCAAAAAACGCATGTAAACTGCAAAACTGCAAAGTGTTGCAGTTTTGTTTACTATAATAAATAAAGTATGACTTTCTAAAACAAACTTTAAAAAAAAACTTTTAAAAACTAAAATTTTGAATGGCAGTGTTGATCAATGTGTATCTATTGCTTTTTTCCCTCTATCACAATATCTCATGTCTATCAAAGCCATTTACAGCAGGACAGGAAGAGGCTCTTCACTTACAAACCACACACACACAAACACATGCCCTTCATGAGCTTTGTTTCCCCACACAACAGTCAAACCACATTTCTAAAATTAAAAAAAAAAAAAATTCAGTTTGACTCACAGCTGGATAAACTTCAGTAAATTGGTTCTGTGAGATCATACAGGGTTTTAACTGTTTACTTTTTCCAAAAAACTAAACTTGAGAACTGAATATTTACACACAAACTTGGTTTATCCAAAATATAGAAAATATTATTAAACTTTTAGCTATTTAACCCAGTCAGGCAACTAGTTTTAACAACTATCAATGTTAAATTATAAAACAAAGTGTTTTCCACCATTAAGAACAGTTAGTCTTACTAAGAGGCAAGAGCTCTTATAATACATATGTAACTGTACATCATGCGCATGTGCATTATTGGTCAGACTCTGTCGGGGGAGGATTCACAAGCCACATTACTTCTGCTGTGTTTCCTTAGTTCAGTTATAGTTTTATTAGGTCAGATGTTTGACTGAACAACTGAAAATGTTTCACGTGTTTGTTTTGTTCTGTTTGTGCTGGTGGAGCCTGATCAGTAAGTTATAAATATATTTGTGTCTTTTATTTAGAGTAATAAAATCCTGCTTCGGTTAAATTGTTTTCATCCGTCTTTAGATCTCTCATTTTAGAAATCTTAATTTAAATGAATACAAATGCAAGTTTTCCCCAAGTAATTTCTAAAACATGATTTAAATCATTTTTAAATATACATTTGCACAACTACAAACGTTATGGAAATGTATAAATACAAATGTATTGAATTTATATGCTGCATTATTTAAACCTGTGCTTTATCTCTGCTGCTGTTCTTCAATTCTATATAATCTGTGTAAAACCTGCTCATGTTCTCCAGGTGTGTTTGGTGATTCAGTGTCAGTGATGGAGGGAGATTCTGTTACTCTAAACACTGATCTTATTAAAATACGTGAAGACGACCACATACGGTGGAACTTTACAGGAAATATTATTCTAGCTGAAATCAGTAAAGGTGCTAGAGTCTTCTTAGCACATGATCCTGGTTCAAAGATTAAGCGAATTAAAGACAGACTGAAGCTGGACGGTCAAACTGGATCTCTGACCATCACAAACACCACAACTGAACACACTGGAGTTTATAAACTTCAGATCAACAGTATGATCAAGAGTTTCGAACTCACTGTCTATTGTAAGTTTAATGTTTGTCTCACCTGTTGTTAGCTATATAGATAATAGAATAATTTCAAGTAAGCATAATTTTCCTCTCTGATACATTAGCCTTTAATAAATACATGAAGAGGAATAAAGATCATATGAGACTCTCACTGACGGACTGACACTTCAATAAACACTTTCTGAACAAATGTATCTCTTTTCCAGCTCGTCTGCCTGTTCCTGTCATCATCAGTAACTCTTCACAATGTTCATCATCATGTTCACTGGTGTGTTCATCATCAGTGCTGAGTGTGTGTGATGCGACTCTGTCCTGGTACGCAGGAATGAGTGTATTGTCCAGCATCAGTGTGTGTGATCTCAGCATCAGTCTCTCTCTACCTCTGGAGGTGGAATATCAGGATAAAAACACCTACAGCTGTGTGCTGAACAATCCCATCAGCAACCAGACCACACATCTGGACATCAACACACTCTGCAGACACACATGTGCAGGTACACCCCCACTCATCAGATATGTGATTATTTGATGTCTTTAGTTGTAGATCTGACACATTCACTCACATTAATGTCTGTCTCTCTTTAGCCGTTACAGCACTGCTCCCACAGACTCAGTCACAGTCTCCTTCAGGTCCTCCAGTGTCAGTGTCTCTGATAGTGTTGATCTCTGCTGGATCTCTGATGATTGTTGCTGTAGTCATTGGGATATTCTTCAGCATCTGCAAAAAACAAAGAAAAAGAAATCAAGAAGGCAAACTTTACCATCTGTTTATAATAAATCTTAAAAATAGCATCACCATTTTATATGACTATTGTCATAATTTTGTTTAACACTATCTAATTAATTTTCATTTTACATGTGAAAAGTTGCAGCTAATGCTCAAATTAAAGTATCTAAAAATAATGACTTGTTGGCTTCTTACCATCTCCCCAGACCACCGCCCGAATAAAGAAGTATGTCAAAGAGTTCCTCAACCTTGTCCATCTGGTTCCCTGGAACGAGGATACACTCAAGACCATCTGGACGGGTTTGGACAACTACTGTTTTCACAAGGTACCTGTGACATAAACATAAGCAAGAGATGCAATAGTGAGGATAAGTGCTTATTGGCCACAAACAGTTCCAAGTAAGAGGTGAAGATCACAGCAACTGGGTGATGCAGGGACATTAATAGGCAACCCATTCAGTGGTGAAGGTGAAGACGTGAGCTGAATCCAATGATTACCAAGCGCAATACACAGATCTTCCAGAAGGAATAATCCACAAAAGGAATCCAGGAAAACTCAGGAACAGAGTTCAAATCCAGAAAGACAGGCGGCAAAGAGGTCAGGTCACGGGACATAACACAAGGACATAAAAAAAACGATCTCACAACAAAAGACAGCAGACAATAAGCATGTATAGGTATAGGCAGCTGGTGCCGATGATAATTAAGGTAATCAGCGACCACACCCACACTCACACATAAACACACGGGAAGAGACAGTAGAGTCCCGCCGAGGCCACCCTTCCAAAGTCTCTTCCCACCAAGGCCACCCTTCCAAAGTCTCTTCCCACTGAGGCCACCCTTCCAGAGTCTCGTCCGCCTTGGCCACCCTTCCAGAGTCTCGTCCCACTGAGGCCACCCTTCCAGAGTCTCGTCCCACTGAGGCCACCCTTCCAAAGTCTCTTCCCACCGAGGCCACCCTTCCAGAGTCTCGTCCCACTGAGGCCACCCTTCCAGAGTCTCGTCCCACTGAGGCCACCCTTCCAGAGTCTCTTCCCACTGAGGCCACCCTTCCAGAGTCTCGTCCCACTGAGGCCACCCTTCCAGAGTCTCGTCCCACTGAGGCCACCCTTCCAGAGTCTCTTCCCACTGAGGCCACCCTTCCAGAGTCTCGTCCCACTGAGGCCACCCTTCCAGAGTCTCGTCCCACTGAGGCCACCCTTCCAGAGTCTCTTCCCACTGAGGCCACCCTTCCAGAGTCTCGTCCCACTGAGGCCACCCTTCCAGAGTCTCGTCCCACTGAGGCCACCCTTCCAGAGTCTCGTCCCACTGAGGCCACCCTTCCAGAGTCTCTTCCCACTGAGGCCACCCTTCCAGAGTCTCGTCCCACTGAGGCCACCCTTCCAGAGTCTCTTCCCACTGAGGCCACCCTTCCAGAGTCTCTTCCCACTGAGGCCACCCTTCCAGAGTCTCGTCCCACTGAGGCCACCCTTCCAGAGTCTCGTCCGCCACGGCCACCCTTCCAGAGTCTCGTCCCACTGAGGCCACCCTTCCAGAGTCTCTTCCCACTGAGGCCACCCTTCCAGAGTCTCGTCCCGCCTTGGCCACCCTTCCAAAGTCTCTTCCCACCAAGGCCACCATTCCAGAGTCTCTTCCCACCAAGGCCACCCTTCCAGAGTCTCTTCCCACCAAGGCCACCCTTCCAGAGTCTCTTCCCACCAAGGCCACCATTCCAGAGTCTCGTCCGCCTAGACCACCCTTCCAGAGTCTCTTCCCACCAAGGCCACCCTTCCAGAGTCTCTTCCCACTGAGGCCACCCTTCCAGAGTCTCGTCCCACTGAGGCCACCCTTCCAGAGTCTCGTCCGCCACGGCCACCCTTCCAGAGTCTCGTCCCACTGAGGCCACCCTTCCAGAGTCTCTTCCCACTGAGGCCACCCTTCCAGAGTCTCGTCCGCCACGGCCACCCTTCCAGAGTCTCGTCCCACTGAGGCCACCCTTCCAGAGTCTCTTCCCACTGAGGCCACCCTTCCAGAGTCTCGTCCCGCCGAGGCCACCCTTCCAAAGTCTCTTCCCACCAAGGCCACCATTCCAGAGTCTCTTCCCACCAAGGCCACCCTTCCAGAGTCTCTTCCCACCAAGGCCACCCTTCCAGAGTCTCTTCCCACCAAGGCCACCATTCCAGAGTCTCGTCCGCCTAGACCACCCTTCCAGAGTCTCTTCCCACCAAGGCCACCCTTCCAGAGTCTCATCCCACCAAGGCCACCCTTCCAGAGTCTCTTCCCACCAAGGCCACCCTTCCAGAGTCTCTTCCCACTGAGGCCACCCTTCCAGAGTCTCGTCCCACTGAGGCCACCCTTCCAGAGTCTCGTCCCACTGAGGCCACCCTTCCAGAGTCTCGTCCCGCCTTGGCCACCCTTCCAAAGTCTCTTCCCACCAAGGCCACCATTCCAGAGTCTCTTCCCACCAAGGCCACCCTTCCAGAGTCTCTTCCCACCAAGGCCACCCTTCCAGAGTCTCTTCCCACCAAGGCCACCATTCCAGAGTCTCGTCCGCCTAGACCACCCTTCCAGAGTCTCTTCCCACCAAGGCCACCCTTCCAGAGTCTCATCCCACCAAGGCCACCCTTCCAGAGTCTCTTCCCACCAAGGCCACCCTTCCAGAGTCTCTTCCCACTGAGGCCACCCTTCCAGAGTCTCGTCCGCCACGGCCACCCTTCCAGAGTCTCGTCCCACTGAGGCCACCCTTCCAGAGTCTCTTCCCACTGAGGCCACCCTTCCAGAGTCTCGTCCCGCCTTGGCCACCCTTCCAAAGTCTCTTCCCACCAAGGCCACCATTCCAGAGTCTCTTCCCACCAAGGCCACCCTTCCAGAGTCTCTTCCCACCAAGGCCACCCTTCCAGAGTCTCTTCCCACCAAGGCCACCATTCCAGAGTCTCGTCCGCCTAGACCACCCTTCCAGAGTCTCTTCCCACCAAGGCCACCCTTCCAGAGTCTCATCCCACCAAGGCCACCCTTCCAGAGTCTCTTCCCACCAAGGCCACCCTTCCAGAGTCTCTTCCCACTGAGGCCACCCTTCCAGAGTCTCGTCCGCCACGGCCACCCTTCCAGAGTCTCGTCCCACTGAGGCCACCCTTCCAGAGTCTCTTCCCACTGAGGCCACCCTTCCAGAATCCCGTCCCACCAAGGCCACCCTTCCAAAGTCTCTTCCCACCAAGGCCACCCTTCAAAGTCTCTTCCCACCAAGGCCACCCTTCCAAAGTCTCTTCCCACCAAGGCCACCATTCCAGAGTCTCTTCCCACCAAGGCCACCCTTCCAAAGTCTCTTCCCACCAAGGCCACCCTTCCAGAGTCTCTTCCCACCAAGGCCACCCTTCCAGAGTCTCTTCCCACCAAGGCCACCCTTCCAGAATCTCGTCCCACCAAGGCCACCCTTCCAAAATCTCTTCCCACCAAGGCCACCCTTCCAAAGTCTCTTCCCACCAAGGCCACCCTTCCAGAGTCTTTTCCCACCAAGGCCACCCTTCCAAAATCTCTTCCCACCAAGGCCACCCTTCCAAAGTCTCTTCCCACCAAGGCCACCCTTCCAGAGTCTCTTCCCACCAAGGCCACCCTTCCAAAGTCTCGTCTGCCTAGGCCACCCTTCCAGAGTCTCTTCCCACCAAGGCCACCCTTCCAGAGTCTCTTCCCACCAAGGCCACCCTTCCAAAGTCTCTTCCCACCAAGGCCACCCTTCCAAAGTCTCGTCTGCCTAGGCCACCCTTCCAGAGTCTCTTCCCACCAAGGCCACCCTTCCAAAGTCTCTTCCCACCAAGGCCACCCTTCCAAAGTCTCGTCTGCCTAGGCCACCATTCCAGAGTCTCATCCGCCACGGTCACCCTTCCAGAGTCTCTTCCCACCAAGGCCACCCTTCCAAAGTCTCGTCTGCCTAGGCCACCCTTCCAGAGTCTCTTCCCACCAAGGCCACCCTTCCAAAGTCTCTTCCCACCAAGGCCACCCTTCCAAAGTCTCGTCTGCCTAGGCCACCATTCCAGAGTCTCATCCGCCACGGTCACCCTTCCAGAGTCTCTTCCCACCAAGGCCACCCTTCCAGAGTCTCTTCCCACCAAGGCCACCCTTCCAAAATCTCTTCCCACCAAGGCCACCCTTCCAAAGTCTCTTCCCACCAAGGCCACCCTTCCAGAGTCTCTTCCCACCAAGGCCACCCTTCCAAAGTCTCTTCCCACCAAGGCCACCCTTCCAAAGTCTCTTTCCACCAAGGCCACCCTTCCAGAGTCTCGTCATCACAATCATCACTCCAACTACTTAAGGACTCACTTCACCACTGTTCACTGTTCGGTCTTGTTCGTTGGTTGGAAAGAGGACTACTCATCTTACCTCCTACGAGCTACCCAACTTCTCCAGCGTTGTCCAATTTCCCATTACTCTCTTCTGTTCCCACCTGCAAGTCATTCCTGATCACACACACCTGCACATCAACATCCAAATTATCACTCCAACTACTTAAGGACTCACTTCACCAGTCTTCACTGTTCAGTCTCGTATGTTGGTTGGAAAGAGGACTACTCACCTTACCTCCTCCGAGCTACCTGACTTCTCCAGCGTTTTCCATGTCACCAGCTTTCTCCAAGTCTACAGCATTCTCCAAGTCCCCTGCGATCCAACATCTCATCTCTCCACGTCTCCATCGATCCACCACCATCTCTGTAAGAAGACACATTCCTTTCACTGTCAGCACACCACTCTCCAATCCAACATTGCACTTCCAACTCACCTGCTTCCCATTCACCAGCCCTTATGTTGTCAATAAACTTCCTGTTTGCATTCGTAACCATCTCTTGAGTCTGCTTCCGTAACACCTGGGTTTGCTTTATTAAATATTTGTAAAAGTGTCTCTCTAAATTTAATGATACAAAAACTCTGTAACTTTTGTGTGTGTGTAAAAGTTATAGGCGTAGTGTCAAATTAAATGTATTAATGTCATTTTTAAAAAATTAAGTTTTACTTTTAATGAAATGCATTAATTCTTTATCTTTGACAGCCATAATAACAACACATATGTTGAAAATAAACTGTTCCAATGCATCTATTATTGTTGTTTTAGAAACAGATGAGACTCACGCAGAAGAGATTACTTACACTGATCCAGTGTTCTACAAAAGAAACGCAAATAAACCAGTGAGACAATTTATTATTAATTTATGTTTGTATCATCCCAGCAAAGTCAGATGTAGATTTTACATGTTTAATGCTCCATGTCCATCACACACACACAAATACAGCATATATTGTGTATACATTACACATTCAACAGACTAATTACTTGCTAAAATATAATTTGTGATGGAAAAAAACACAATAGGAAAATAACAAGCGTTCCGTTGTTTGGATCAAATCACAGGAAGGACATTTTCTTCACACAACAGTGCTGATAAATGTTATTAGAAAACACTATTTGTCACTATTTCTCAATCTTCAGGATGAACCTACAATCTATTATTATTATCTTGAGTTATGTGGGGTTTTTTTTGTTGTTTTTTTTTACAGAAAGATGAAGAGCATGATCATGTGGTTTATGCACCTCTCACAATAAGATGAACAAAAAGGTGTTTTTCTAAGTACAAAATCCAACTGTGTGACCTGTGACAACCATAAGCTTCAACCCTAAACATCTGATCAAGCAAATCAAGTCCTTCAGGCTTATTTGGAAACTACAGGTATGTGTGATGAAGCAGGGTTGGAACTAAACTCTGAAGGACAGTGGTCCTCCAGGAGCAGGGTTGAAGACCTCTCATCTAAACCGTATGGGGAGCAATAATATTTGTCACTGTTAAATTCATAAAGTCAACATATGTAATCTGTATGTATGAAAAAGGTGCAAAATGTATTGAACGGACTGGAGACTCTGCTGTGTACTCAATTATTACCTCTGTACACAAATGTAGTTTGATCTGTTGTGCCTGAGCTGTGTGAGTTTGATGTCAGAGAGTGTGTCTGGTGAGAATAGTGTGTCTAGCATGTGGTTAAAGGGCTTTTTTCATTCCTGACCTGCTCACATCAAAAACATTTCACTTCTGCTTTAAAACATGCTTAACAAAATACTGATCTCAGCTGTTGTTTGAAAAAAAAAGGTCTCAAATCAAACAAAGAAAAAACTGTGGAATATTAAAATATCATATTACTTGTGCTCATTTGCATCATGATCTTATAAACTCATGCAGTGATCGTGCAGTAAAGCAGTGCTGGCTTCAGTAATTATTTCCCGCTCTAGCACCACTTCCTTGTTAGAAGAACTATTCTTGATTATATAAAGCTCATATCCTGTTTTTTTCTGTTAATGTCTGGGTCATTTTAAGAATAAATGCAATTATTTACAAAAACGATTTATGTTTGATGTTTGTTAATATTTCATCAGTTTCGAGGAGAAACTAAAAGTAACAATGCTGCTAACCAACTTTATATTCAGTTGCATATGCTGCTTTCCAAAGGTAAAATGAGAAAAGTCAATTTTCAGGAGGGAATGGAGACACTGGAGACAGGGAGATTGGTCCACTTGGCATTAATGAGACCGACAATGAGCTGGGGTGAAGTGTGTCTATAAATAGTGTCACAGATGCAGGTGTGAGTGATTGGGAATGACGTACAGATGCCAATTGGGACGAGGCTCTGGAATGGTGGTCATGATGAGACGAGACTCTGGAATGGTGGCGGCCAACTTGGCACGAGGCTCTGAAACAGCGGCCACGAAGGGACGAAGCTGGAGATTCTGGACGGCGGTGGTCATCTTGGGACGAGACTCTAGAACGCCGGCAAACCAACTTGGCACGAGACTCTGGAACAGTGGCCATGACGGGACGAGACTCTGGAACGGAGGTCATGACTGGACGAAGCTGGAGATTCTGGACAGTGGTGGTCATCTTGGGACGAGACTCTGGAACGGCGGCAAACCAACTTGGGACGAGACTCTGGAACAGCGGCCAAGTCGGGACGAGACTCTGGAACAGCGGCCATGTCGGGACGAGACTCTGGAACAGCGGCCATGTCGGGACGAGACTCTGGAACAACGTGGCCATGACGGGACGAAGCTAGAGATTCTGGACGGTGGTGGCCATCTTGGGACGAAACTCTAGAACGCCAGCAAACCAACTTGGGACGATGATCACTGGTAAAGGTAGTAATATAAATAATATATATATAAATAATATATATATATATATATATATATATTTAAAAAAAAAAACGTTGGCTGGCAGCAGGCCAAATTAGTCGCGGAATTTCTTTTACGGTCTATGGAATTGGCTTCATGCACAGCTGCACTACTTCCTGAACTTAAGCCAGCTCCTTGTTTCCATAGACAGTAAAAGAAATGGACAGAGCGATCTCATTGGAACTCCATTGAGACGATTGAAGCCCGTTTTTGGCGATTTTTAGCACTTCCGTCCCTGTCGTGCAGACTCAAACAGAGCTTGACGACGTAGATGTGACGAGAGCAACCCGTCTGTCTTCTAGTACTGTGGCATGAGAAATCTGATTCATTCCCTTCCGAAACATGCAGAGACAGAGAGTGTGAGTAGGAGCTGTCCATGAGCTAGGAGAAGGAGACAATTTTGCTAGTTATTCTGATTAATTATTTTGTCATTTTGCCTCCACGTTTCCCCGATTGCCCGCGAGCTTCTCCTCCTGTACATACGGTAATCTCTCTATGGTGCGACAGAGAGCTGGTTATGACGCAATTGTTAGCCTACTTTCACTAAAACTGCTTCTACGGGGCCATAACATAAGCTACAAGGTAATGGAGCTATTTATACATTGTCGTGTTTCTTTAGAAATAAATAAAGGACAAATGGGGTCTTCAAACGCCTCAGATGTAAAGTTATTCGCTGTCAAAGTGACGCCAAAATGAATGGGAGTCAATGGGAATGCTAACGCAAGTGAAGTTCTGCTACAAGATGGCAGCTCCCGCGAGGCTTCAACTTCCGGTCGATGGATTACCCCCCTGATTGTTTCCTGTATGCCATTATTGAACAAATTGATTAGTTCAGGTGTGCCTGACCTCAGTAGTCACGGCAACAATAATTAGACACACCTGAATTAATCAATTTGGCCAATAATGGCAGACAGGAAACAAGGAGCTGGCTGAAGTTCAGGAAGTAGTGCAGCTGTGCATAGAGCCAATTGTCCCGGGGCTCCCGATGGCCAGTCCAGCCCTGGTTACACATGGTGTCTTTTTACAGTATTGCATTAGATAAAGGCCTAATTTTTGGTTCTGGAAAGAAATGTGATAGACATATAGACATGTTGATTGGTAGACAAACAGCTTTTGCATAAGAATGTGTCTGTTACTTGGGGTTAATGTGTGTTTGTATGTGCATGTCTTGAGGTCGGAAGAGTCTGAGTGTGTCTGCATTTTAGCGTGTTTGGAAAGGACTTCCACAATTTGACTTCCTCTCTGTTCAAAGCAGTTTTTTAAAGATTTTCTCAACTATATCAAATACAAATTTCACCTTTCTGTATATTAATAACCTTAGATAAGCTTATAGCTAGTTTATTTTCAACTATAGCTTAATTTCATTTTAAAGAAGCTTAAAATAATACTTGATACACACTGTCAAATACACAATGATACATTTGAAGAACAAATGTATGACTTACTGTGAGTTGTAACATTTATTATGACATCATGCAGAAGTTCACTGGTTGTTTACTGTATATAAACGTTGTTTCATTAGGATATTTGTTTTTAAAACAGTGAAGTTTTTCCAGAAACAGTCTTTTTTTACAAGCACTAGCAATGTAGCATGACAAACACCAGACTCCTGAATCATAATGCGGTGACTTTCACTCTATATTAAGAATAAATTACACTCAAACAAATCACCCTCAGCAAAGAAACAAGACATTAATTGACCACTAGAGGGATGAGTCATATACCCACAGGTTAAATGTGGTATTTTCTTTGTTTCCACATTTACTATTGCTTATTATTCCTTATATTTTGGTTATTAATAATGTTCACCACATGAAAAAGAAATAAAAACAGATGCATTGCTAAACTACACAGCAATTGACCATGATCATATTTCTCTACAAAATGTGTAGGCTACTGTATTGTTCCTACAATAAAAACATAATTTGAGATCTACTTCAGTGTAAGGTAATATTTGTCATTTCTTTTTTTAAAGAGAGTTCTGTCAGACACCACATTTCCATTTTACTGTAACAATCACTAAAATAACTGTTATTACTTGCTGTTTTTTGTGTGTGCAAGAACAGCATCCCACATGGTCTGCCCATAGTCCATTATATTCCATTAATATATAAAGTATGTACACTACACACAGTATGCATACTGTATTAGAGCGCCATCTAGTGTCATAAGGAATTCATTATTCGAGAATGCTGTTGTGATTTAATCATATTTTTAATGCCATTTCTCACATGAACATAATACAAATACACGTCTAATATTCCTCCCCTGGAAAGGCACATGATTTGTTCACAAAATAAAACATCTTTATGTGCATATATCTTTTACAATATTTGAAAAGCTTATTAAAACACTGCTACCATTTATGAAAGAATCGTATATGCAGCATTGGCAAATAACAGCATTTTAACTCTGGCATGACAAAACATGAACATGACAAAAATAGAAAAAAATATACACAAATCCCATTCATGATATTAATATATCTACATTGAGTACCAAACAAAAGACAAACCACAAAAAGGAATATGGGAAAAAGACTGTTGACACACACAAAAAAAAGAAAAATATATACACCACATATTGATAATATTACATTATAAATAAAGAAATCACCGTTAATTGTTAAACATCTGTAATGGATGTTCCTCATGTGAAATGCAGGACTCTGGCAGTAAGATCATCTTAACAGCACCTCATAAAATATCACAAATGAACAAATAAGACATAAAAAGACATAAAAGAGTCGCTTCAGTGCCTGAGTGTTGTTTGATTGACAGCTGCCTTCAAATGTTCACTATTGTATTTGTCTAAAGTGCTCATGTCTCTCAGTACAATATGTGTGTGCAGTCAAACACAATTCTTGATCACTATGCCCGTCTCTGTGAGGTTTTCTTGGTTTTCTTGTAAACACAGTCAGAGTCAGTTTTTAGAGGATGTAAACTAAACAGACGGGACAAAACTGATGTCAAACAGATTGTCCTTAATATGCATCATATTAATAATGACAAGAAACAGATAAAGTCTGAATAACTGTAGCAGCTTTAACAAAACTCTGCATAAACACTTGATGACCTATTGCTGGTGAATGTTACTTTTTTTTACTTTTTTTTGGCGGATTCACTGTTTATCGGTCTTATTGTGTGTGTGTGTGTGTGTGTGTGTGTATATATATATATATATGTAAACTCAGTATATGTAAAGTTTGATCAGGCACCAGTCCACCAGAGGGAGCCATCACCTGAATATTGAACTCTGTTACTTCCTGTTCCTGCCAAATCAGTTCCTGTCTTGTCATTTCCTGTTACTCTGTATTTAAGCCATGTGCTATCACTGCCATATTGCGAAGTATTGCCAGTTCTCTGCCTTACTAAGCATTCTACTATTCTGTTTTGATTTACTGTAATGACCATTGTTTTGCTTCCTGACTCACGCTTTTGGATTGCTGTTTTCTGGAGTTGTCTGCCTTTGGATTGTTTTACATGTGCTTTGACCTATGCCTGTGACCTGACCTAGAATTGTGACTGTTGTTTGGATTTTATGCTCAGATCCTTAATAAAGACCCGCTTATGGATTCTACTCAGCCTACATCTACTGTACAGAATATATATAACATTTTTATCTCTTCACTGTCCCTGTAAATAAAATTGTCAAAACAATAAGTAATGTTATGTCGTGGTTTCACTGTTGGGATGTCCCATTAAGAGCAGTCTTTAACTTGAAAATACATTCTGACTGATGCATGACTATATTACACTTCTCCTCTGAAAGAAAACAGATTCACGGAAGGGAAAGGTTAGGGAAAATTAAGAGGATTGATGATTCAGTTACACGAACACAAAAAAATATTGAAATTCTGTTTAAGGAATTTAATGTGGTTATGTTTTCTTAAATATTTGACAATGTCCTAAATGTGTGATGTTCTGAACTGTCTTCTTCTGTAATGCATTAATACAACAGTATGTTTCAATGCCACAATGCCACAGACGCAGTCACAAATAGCAGAGCACCAACACTTATTCCTGCTATAGCAGCTGAAGACAGAGCCAAACCTGGAATGATGAAGAGAGACATTCATATCAATTTTACTGATATTGTTGACTAATAATTACACCTTTCTGTTTTGAGTTTAGTTGTATGATAATGATTCAACTGATTAATGCCCATTTGGTGGAGATTTTAAAGGGGTCGCAGTTACAGTAAAAAAAAAAAACAAAAGCATCAGCATTTTCAGCTAAACACGACACATCAATGTTCACAGGAAAAGTGACTTTATACATTTTGCAGATAAATACAACATTAATAACAACAATATTCAATGCTACATGAATGTAAAACAAAAAAATACTTACCAGTCACAGTAACACTGATTCTCCTCTTGATTCTCCTAATACTGAAGCTGTTGTTGTTGCTGATGATCTGTAGTTTATATTCTCCAGAGTGTGTGTTTCTGGTGTTTGTGATGGTCAGAGATCCAGTCTGATGATCCAGTTTCAGTCTGTCTCTGAATCTCTCTTTACACTGATCATCTGTACAGATCTTACTCTGATCTCCAGTGATTTCAGCGATGACAATGTCATTAAAATACCACGTCATCCCATCATTCGATTTTCTAACTACAGCAGGATCTAAAGTGACGGATTCCCTCTCCTTCGGTGACATGGATTTTAATTCATTCATCTCGGCAGCAATTTCTAACGAAAAAAACAAAACACAGCTGGGTTACAAATCTACACAACAGGAAAGAACTGTGAATATCAAAGTGATTACAAACTGATACGATCACTTTATGATGAACATAGATAATTTAGGCTTTTTAATCACATAACCATTGATCAACGCACAAATGCATATAAAACTATTGCAAACGAAATCTCAAACATGCCATCTTGATTTTTTTTTAGAAGTTAAATGAGTTTAGAAAGACATTAACAAATGATGACCATTGTTGTTGAAGTAATGCGAGTTACGTAATTAGATGACTTTTTCAAGTAACTATCAAGTAAGTAATACAAGTTACTTTGTTTTGCATTTTAATTATGACTGACAGCTCTCCTGTCCACATGATGTTGAGAGAAATCAGCAGGAAGTGCAGAGACGTTGTGTGAGCTGTGTGCAAACATGATGCTTATTGTAGATCTACTGTAAACTCTAAGGCCCTGTTTACATCTGCTATTAAGATGTGTTTTGGGTGATCGGATCACAAGTATGACTTTTTTTGTCCACTTTCGACCACTTCTGTCTAATGAAGTAAATAAGCTCTCGCAATTTACATATGAACACACTTGCAGTCAATGGAAAAAACACACAGAGAGCATCAGCTTTAGTTTCTGCTCTGACAGACGCAAGACCAGCCGAACGCTGTGAGTGTGTGTTAGAAATCAGGAATAGTGAGAGAACATTGTGCTTGGTACTTTTTTTTAGTATTCAAACCAAACGTGTGGTTTCAGCTAATAAAATTTAATCATTACATCATTAATTAATTAAATCATAATCATTAAAACCAGGCCACTAAATTAAAAAGATCCATATCAAATCAGTTATCATCCATATTAAATCCCTTAAAAGAAAATGCACCGAATGACTTAATCATACTCACCAGAGACGGAAAAAATGAAGCTCTTAATGCTGTCGCTGCTGCTGCTGTTGTTGCTGATGTGTAGCTGATATTCTCCAGAGTGTGTGTTTGTGATGTTCATGATGGTCAGAGATCCAGTGTGATGATCCAGCTTCAGTCTGTCTCTGAATCTCTCAGTATCTTCATTACACTGAACATCTGTACAGGTCTTACTCTGATCTCCATTGATTTGAGCGATGCGAGTGCCATTAAAATACCATCTAATTCTGGTTTGTTGGTTTGTTTGAACACCAGTGTATAGAGTGACTGAATCTCCCTCAATCACTGACACTGACACTTCATCTGATCCAACACTGAAAACATCTAGTGAAGAATTGAACAGATAATTTTAAATAAAAATCAGGGATAGCGGGACAAAAACACACAAGAGGAAAGTGCTGTGTAAATACAACACTATTTAAAATAAAAATATTGCTTTTGTTTTCAAATTTACAATTGGTCTGTCCAAGTATTGAATATATCATTGTCATTGTCATTTTTTTAACCTGTTCATCTCAATAGTAAGACCCATTTTAAAGATATTCTAAAAATAGTTTTAAACATTTATTCAGAAAGAGTTTAAATAATACACAAGTTAAGGCTGTCAGTGTGTGCATAAAACAGGACTACTTAAAGCTACACACACAAAAAAATATTTACCATTTAAAACCAAATAATATGAATCTTTATATTTCTCTAATGTAGCTTTTAAATATTATGAGATACATAATATGCTAAGTGACTGGAATTTATGATTCAATGGCAACACCACAATAAATGGCTAATTATGACCAACGGAAACTATATAGTTTATTATTAAGGCCTATTAAAGCTTTACTTTTTTTTACAACAATAGCCAGGTAGCATATATAAAGACAGTTTTAAGGAGGGAGACAAAACAGGATGAGGATGCAGAGATGAAGTCAACCCCCAGAAGACAATTAACCACTGGATTTTCCTTTTTTTTTTTTTTTTTTTTTTTTTACTAGGGTATTCAATTTATAAGTAAAATAAGGCCTTTTAAAAGCAACAGCTTCGAAATTCGTGTGAACCACGGACTTTATTTCACTCATAAATTGAAATTGCTCTGAATAAGGTCTACTATGGCGTAACCTTTATTGTCTTCCGGGTTCCGACGTCATACCCGCAGCATCTACTCTGTCATAAAAAGAAATATCTTACCAAGCAGGAAAATGCACAGCGTGGGGAAAATTCCGAACATTATTTTTCTCTAGTTTATCCAAAAAATAAATCTATAAATAAATAAAAAATATTTAGATAGCGAAAGCGAAAGTGACGTAGGCCTACAATGACGTTGCTAAAACAAATGCGCTTTTAAAAACACAACACAGCTTGTTTCATTTTTGCTATAGGCCTATAGTGACGTTCGACATCGAAGCTCTGAAACGAACGTAAACCAAACGAACACCGACAAAACAAACAACAAAAAAGGCTTGTGTAGATTTTGCTTTGGCTGCTCCTCGCCCTAAAGATGTCGCAGACTTGCAGAAGGGGGAAAGGAAACGAAGCCGTACGGACGCAATGACGCATTATGCTGACGTTCCATTTGAGTGTTTTTTATTTATTTATTTATTTATTTTATAAATACGCTTGTACGTCATGTAGCCTCATTGCGGAAGTTGTGGTGCATAATGAAACTGAATGACTGCACTCAATAATATCCATATGTTTCGACACCTCTACAAATAGCTGTCCCCAGAAATATTGGTAAGGGTACGGGGCAAGTCAATGTCTTTATATATATATATATATATATATATATATATATATATATATATAAATCGTTATTCGATGCACATAGGCCTACATTAACTTTATGAAATACAGGACTAGGGCATGATAAAAAAAAAACAAAGTAAATATACAGATTACACAGTTTATTTATACATATAAGTTTCAGGCTCCTTTGACTTATTTTGATGCACCCAACTGACTTCATTTATACGTGCTTCTCAAACCTGCACAATTTGGATGTTTCTCTTATCATACACACATATTTTAGGCCATGAAATCCCTAAATGAGCTGATGAGTTGAATTAGGTGTGTTACTGGCACAGTTAAAAACACCACTGGAGCAAGAAACTAGTTCCCAGAGCGTTCTGTGAACTTAACATTGGGCAATATGAGTGAGAAATCCAAAATGTGCTTGTTTGAGCCTTTACTTCATAAATGAGCTTCCAATAAACAAAATGCTACTTGGAATATTGTAGAGTGTTCTAAAAATACGGTAATATATATCATAATAGAATGTGCAATGCAGTTAAACAGTGTCCACACCTATAAGTGCAGTGCAGAAAGGAAGGCTATACAGACTAAAAAAAAAAAAAAAACGAGCAAATAAAAACGTACAAACAATAGAAAAGTAACTATCCTAATCGTATATGGCCAGCTCTGGTTTCCAGTCAAAGTCATGGCAAATATGGCTGGGCAAAAAACAATATATAGCTAGATTTTATTATTATAATTATTTTGCAAACATTGAACATAATATCTGATTGATGTTAAGCTTATTACCACTAGATGTCATCCTCTTATACCTTGAATGACAGCATGAAAGACGTTCCAGAGAGCTGAAGAAACTGCCACTGTCAAGCCTTGCCAATTTAAGCATTCAAGCACAAGACATAAGACACATCACATATGTTTTTAGTGTTAATCAAACTACAAATGACAAAGAAATCACTCCATACTCTTCACTGAAACCTTTAATTATGAGATCATGCAGTCTTATTTTATTTGATCACGTTGAACCTTAAAAGCACTGACTATTTCGTTTGTATATTTGTTGTAGCCTATTGTATATTTATTAGTGCCATTGCTTATAGTTTAATTTTTTAATTCAATTTCACTGACGTCTATGTTGGTGTCATAACCTTATTTATTACAATACATGGATACGGGTCAGGGATGAAAAACATCTAATATCATTGTTATTAATGTTTCTGAATTACTGTGTCTGTATTAAAGAGTAATTGGTGTTATATTTAGATACTGACATTTTATTTAGTGCTTTAGATCTGTGAGGTATTGGACGTCTGACCTGTGACATTTGGATGGATTTATTTTACTTCAGTCTGTTCTGTGAGGTCATCAACTGTGAGGTTGCAGACTCGCGTGCACTAAAAGCCTCTTGCACACGATGTTTGTCCATCCAGCAGATCACACCACAGGTTTCACTTTGACTCATGTGTTAACATCTCACCTCAGTAAAAACGGCAAAGAGAGATGGGAGATGATTTTACCTGTTGTTTAAATCACTACGACTGAATGATTATGAACCATTATAAAATCCATGATCTTTATTTTACCATGAATTTTAGGAAGATTTACATAATCTATACTTTTATACTTGGCACAGTCAGACAACTACCATTATATTTCAGTGTTAAGTGATAGAAAAATGATGTTTTTTGCTAATAATAACATGTAAAGTCTCAAGAGCTTAATAATTATGTTTATATGTAATAATATATAATACGCAGAGCATGTGCGTGTGCATTATAAGGGTTAAACTGTGTGGTGGGAGGATTCACACCAGTGTGACTGTTTCCAGCTCATTACATCAGACACCGAACTACTGAAGGAAATGTTTCACGCGCTTGTTTTGTTCTGTGTGTGCAGGAGTTGTCTTGGTAAGTTATAAAAACATTTTTTACAGGTTAATAATTTATGTTTCAGGACATTATCAACTGCTGCTGTTCAAATCAGGGATTTGCTTTTGCTTTTCTTCCCAGATCAAACTTAGATTTACTCTATATTCTGTTTTAATGTCCCACATAAAAATGCTACGAAATGATTAAAGATAATTAGTTTTACAAATGTGAGATAAACCATTGTTTATTTTGCTCTGCAGATAGTGTAAAATATATACGTATTAGAGACGATCATCTGTCTGATCATACGAGTGATGTTTAACCTTTTGTGTGTCTGCTGCGCTTCAATTCACATTTAAATGATGCAAACTGATTTTAGGGTTTCTAAACCAACAAGAATGAAAACTTTTGTTCTCCAGGTGTGTTTGGTGAGTCAGTGTCGGTGATGGAGGGAGATTCTGTTACTCTAAACACTGGTGTTACTGAAATACGTGAAGATGAAGATATACTGTGGACATTTGGAGATAAAAACTCTCTGATAGCTAAAATTAAAAAAAAGAAGCAAATCTTCTCCACATTTGATAATGTTACTGATGGGAGATTCAGAGACAGACTGAAGCTGGACGATCAAACTGGATCTCTGACCATCACAAACACCACAACTGAACACACTGGAGTTTATCAAGTACTGATAAGTGAAGCGAAATCATCATCAAAATTATTTAACGTTTCGGTCTACGGTGAGTAGAGATCATCTGTCCAAATGTTCACATATTCTCATTTTTTTACTTGAATTATTAAGATTGTAAATATATGAAGAATCTCAGTGTGTGAGATGACAAAAACACTAACTCTTCTTATACTAAAGATTATTCCAATTTATTCTCTCGTGTTTCTCAGCTCATCTGCCTGTTCCTGTCATCATCAGTAACTCTTCACACTGCTCTTCATCATCATCATCATGTTCAGTGGTGTGTTCATCATCAGTGTTGAGTGTGTGTGATGCGACTCTGTCCTGGTACGCAGGAATGAGTGTATTGTCCAGCATCAGTGTGTGTGATCTCAGCATCAGTCTCTCTCTACCTCTGGAGGTGGAATATCAGGATAAAAACACCTACAGCTGTGTGCTGAACAATCCCATCAGCAACCAGACCACACATCTGGACATCAACACACTCTGCACACACACATGTGCAGGTACACCACCACTCATCATATACGTGTGTGTGTGTTTACTGACCTGATCTCTAATGTCTCTCTTTAGACATCACAACATCTCCTCCAGTGTCTCTGATAGTGTTGACCTCTGCTGGATCTCTGATGATTGCAGTTATAGTCGTGATCTTCTGCATCTGCAGGAAAAGTGATCGAGAAGGCAAGTGTTACCTGCATGCTTATAAGAAGGAATTGGAAATTGGATGTTTGGTTTTTAATGCATATTTTTATTTGTTATAGTTGTTGGCGATGAAAGAGTTAATAATCGAGATAATGAAGAGATCGTTTATGCTAATCCAACATTCTACAAACGAAATGTTCAGAAACGGGTGAGTTGATTTTTATTGCAATGTGCTTTATATGATCTGACACACACACACACACACTAATAAGGACGCTATTAGTTTTAGTCTTCTGCTCTGATGGGTTCAGGAGATCAGTCGGTTCTGATAGCAGATAGCAAGGGAAAATTGATGCAAATAATACAGTTAGCCTAAACTAACCATAGCATTCATATGGTAGCAAAATAAATCAATTTTTTTAAAATGGAGGATGATGTTGTTGATAGTGTGTGTGTCTGAATCAAACTTGTTTTCTATTTTTGAATCTTGTGGTGTTTTTTTTTTTTTTTTACAGACAGCCAGAGAGGAGAATCACACAGAGTATGCGGTCGTCTGCATAAGATGAAGAAACTAATTTGGCATTTGGATTTAGTATGTGATCTACGATTTCTAGTATGTGATCTTTAGTATGTGATCTTTATAAGCTTTGGACAAGTTTTGCAATTATGGAATAAAAAATTCTGAAAAATGAACATAGGCTACGTGATGTGTAAAAACCAGCTCAGTTTGAGAGTCTTGAGTAAAAACCTGTTGTGGTCTGATTCGCTTAAAATATATATATATATATATATATAGACATGTGGTTTGATCTGTAGCTAAAACAAGCAGCATGTGCAAAAGAGTGCCGGCCTATTATTGAGCTTTTGTGGTTGGGGTGTGTTTGAGAGGGCATGATTGAGGTGTGAAAACAGTGTGCAGTTGAAGGACTTTTTCCATTCCTGCTAATGTGAAACTCAATTTACTAACTACCATGTAATGATTCCATCATATTATTTAGATGAAAACATGCATGCAAGTACACATGAATGCTCACGTCACTTGTGTTGCCTATTTAGTTTTTGAAACGTTGGTTTGGCTTTCAATGCCTCAACACAGAAAAATACTGACCATGTTCCTGGTTCCTGGAACAACATTTCAATCAACCAATCAGATTTGAGAGATTTCAGTTTACAGTTATGTCATGTTTTGACTTGCAACCTGTCAGCAAACAGAAGAATACAACGCAAAGGTGATGTGAGCTCCTCCCTCAAGGGTGTTTATTTGCAGGTAAGTTCAGGAAACAATGACTGAGTTCATTAAATAACAGCAAACACTTAGCGGAGAATAAAAGTTCTTACCGTATAATAAAATTTCTTACCGAAAAGTTCTTACGAGTGTTGACTGATGCAAACTGGATGGCAGGAGACTGAAGATAATCAAAGATTGAATCCTAACTGGTAAGTGTCCCAAAGTACACTCAGAAAAAAAGGTACAAAAGCTGTCACTGGGGCTGTACCTTTTCAAAAGATACAATTTTGTACCTATAAGGGGGGTGCATATTGGTACCTTAATGGTACATTTAAACACCTAAAATGTACATATTAGCACCTAA